AGGAGCTAAGGAGCGAACAGCCTGACTGCCACGAGGCTGAGCTAAAAACTGGGACGCCGGAGGACCACGTGATGGTGAGAGGCGTTCCTCAATTTCAAGCTCAGCCTGTAGGAGCCGAGACTGAAGCACCTCCCAACCTGGACGCTCGGAGCAGCTCCATGGAAAAGCTTCTTTTTTCAGCACCTTCATAGCTTCAAAGGAACCGGCCCATTTCCGGACTTCCAAAAGGCTCATTTTCCGCCCTCCCAGAGCACTTACCTGCATCCAAAATGGAGACTCCTGGGAACGGGTGGGGCAGGCATAAAGACAACTCTGCCTTTCTTCAGGAAAAAAAAAGAAAATCTGGATTTATGCTGGCTGTCCCTTGTGAGAGCCTGCCTTCGAAGGAATCGCCATATTGTGATACCTGAGAACAAGTGTGTGAAGATCTCAGAGTGTGACCCTTAACCCATTACTGCATGCAAAGCTCAGGATCAAAAAAAAAAGAAAGTTCTCATTTCTATTCTTGTCAGATTTCAAAAACCAAGGAAGACATATTGGGTTTCTTCCAAGCACATTTCTTCATTGTTCCTCCCTATAGACAGAATCTTGCCCAACTAAAGCATACTAACACCCCCCCTCCCTGCCCCCCCCCAGGCATATACAACTGTTTGCTGTAACCAACTTATAACAAGTTTGTTTAGTGACCATTCGAAGTTACAACAGCACTGAAAGAAGTGACTTAGGACCGTTATTCACCCTTACGACCGTTGCAGCACCCCATGACCTTCTGATAAGCCGTGTCCAAGGGGAAGCCAGATTCACTTAACAACAATCTTAATATCTTAACAACTGCAATAATTCACTTCACAAATATGGCAAGGAATGTAATGAAATGGGACAAAGCTCACTGCATTGCCTCTTGTTCCTCTGGAATACGTCTCCTCCCTCCTGGCAATTGGGACCAGGTTCCGTCACAATCCTCAGTTCGTCTAAAATATGCTTATATATTGCCCCAATTACTCTAAATTTCCTATTACTTGCAGAAAATGAAAAGAATCGTTTATTTCAGGCTCATCCCAGTAAAATTGACTAAGAATTGCAGATAGAATTTCTGGAAGGATGGCTTACTCATTGCCATCAAACGTCACCTGTAAATGCTCAGCAGGAGAATGTTTGATGTGTTCCTGATAGTAAGTTTCATTTTTCTGAATGATAATATGGATAGAATGAGCCAAAGATTGTGGTTAGTCCAGGAGGAATTGTTTGAGCCCATTTACTAAGTCACTGAAAATGAATTTTACAGATGGATCCAGTTTTCCCTGTAATGGTAGCCCTCAATTTATAACAGTTCATTTAGTGACCATTCAAAGTTACAACAGTACTGAAAAAAGTGACTTACAACCGTTTTTCACACTTAACCACCATTGCAGTGTCCCTATGCTCACGTGATCAAAATTCAGATCCTTGGCAACTGACTCACATTTATGACGGTTTCCGTATCCTGGGGCCTGTGATTCCCCTTTGCGACCTAATGACAAGCAAAGTCAACAGGGAAGCCTGATTCACTTAACAACCATGTGTGACTTAGGGAGAACAATTAACCAGTGGAACAGAAGTTGCCTTCAGAAGTTGTGGGTGCACCAACACTGGAGGTTTTCAAAAAGAGATTGTACAACCTTTTGTCCAGAATGTTATGGGATCTCCTGCTTCAGTGTTGGGTTGGTCTGGATGACCTCCAAGGTCCCTTCCAACTTTCTGTTTGTAAGTGAGAAAAATGCTCATGTCACTTTTGTCAGTGCTGTCACTAAATGTACTGGTCTAAGTCCTAGGACTGCCTGTAATTAGAGGAAAAAGGTAGATTCCTAACTCGTGTATGAGAATATTTTCTTGTAAGTGCTTAATGCGTTAATACTTTTATTCAGATATTGTGGTAATGATAAACTATAAAAGAGATTCTTTTAAGAATGGTCTAGTAGTAGTGAATTTACAGAATTTAAGGATAATCAATCACAACTGCTTACATGTATAATAAGAGCTATTACTGGTAGGTAGCTGACTATTCTTATCAGATCTATTGTTACTTTAAGTTTAATGCTAATAGGTTGGATAATTCTGGCAAATTAGAGAATCTGGATTGTTTCTTATTGCAATAGATAGATGTCTCCTTTCCAAGTGTAAGTTAATTGAAGAAGCCTTTACAGTATTAATACAATTATTCAACAGTTTAGCCAGGACCAGAGCAGAGAGTATTGTTTAAGAACTGATAAATAGGCTCAGATAGGGTGATTCTTGTTCTTTTGTGACTTGGACAACCAACGGAGTTTTGGTTTTGCAAGTAGTCTTTGACTTACAAACATAACTGGGCCCAAAATTTCCGTTGCTAAGCAAGATAGTTGTTAGGTGAGTTTTTGACCCATTTTATGAGCTTTCTTGCCACGGTGTCATGCCCCTGTTGGAACCTGATTCTGAGGGGGAGGTCAAGCAGCTGACAGGGAGTGGGAGTGTGGCTCTGGTGGCTGTGGAGGAAACTGGGGAAGGGCACAGGCTGGCTGGGCCTTCATTGGAAGACCCATTCTAAGGCATGCAGGGAGGAATGGAGAAGGGAGCAACATGGGTTATGGGGGAGAAAAGGGCCCCGATTCCCTTCATTAGCTGCAGCTGGAAAACAGGATTTAAAAAGGGTGTTTGTGCATAGCACCTTGCTGGAAGCAAAGCGTGATTTATCTTTGTCAAGTCCTATCTGGATTCCGGAGTCCTCCCAACTGTGTGTGTTTTGTTATCTTTTGGAAACCTGCAATTCCTTATCCTGCCCTGTCTCATTAATTGCTGCAGTGTGTTTTGTGTTGGTTTTTATTTCTAATTTAGATGTACTTTGGAGTCAGACTGAATTTCTTCCCTTTAAAAACTGTTCTTGAGAGAGTTTTTTTCTCCAGCCGATGATAACTGGATATTGGGGGCCAAGTTGGAGGAATTAAAAGGGACTTTGCCTACTTTTGTGACTTTGTTGCTTTTGTGCCACACCCCTTTGGGTCATCACACATGGTGATTAAGTAAACCACGGCAGTCGTTAAGTGAATCTACCTTTCTTCTTGTCTTTGCTTCTCCTGTCTTCAGACATATGGCCTATCTTTGCTGTCATCTCTTAAGGTGTCATTGACTGAACGGCTGTTAAATGAGAAATATCTGTACTTCACACAGAGGAGGTGCCTCTTTAGCAAGGCATCTCTTGATGTTTGGATGGGATGAGCTTGGGAAGGCAGTCTCTGATATGTGCTACACTGCGTAGGGGTGTGTATTTGTGTGTGTGTGTGTGCTATGGGGTAGGTTTATAGGTGATAGCTGGCACTTTCATATTTCATATTTAGCAATATTCAGAAATGACAGATCTGTCATCTCTCTCCTTTCTGCCGAGTAAGCAAGGTGGATTCTTTTCACGTCTTTTTTCCCCTTTAAGGTGTAAATTAAGCACACACAGGTGACAGTTAAAAAAAAGTCCATCCGTCTAAAGAATTCACCGCTTTGTATCTTTTATGCCGTTATTTTCATTCTCTTTTGATCTTTTAGGTTATTATTTTAATTGTGCAGGAGGACAAACGTTGCTTGTGCAGAACTGGGTAGCTTCTCAGTGCCAGCCTTCCCTGCTCCTTAGGAAACCACATCCTGTGCAAAATTCTCCCTCCCATATTCCACACTCCCCAGATCGTTTTAGTTATTTTAGAAGTCATTTAATCACCCAAGGTCCTCCCTCCCTCCCTCCCTCCCCTCCTTTCTTCCCTCCCTCTTTCCTCCCCTTCTTCCCCCCTCCCTCCCTTCCTTCCCCTCTTTCCTCCCTCCTTTCTCTTCCTTCCCCTTCCCTCTCGTCCTCCCCTCCTTCCATCCCCTCTCCCTCCCTCCTTTCCTTCCTGTCTCTTTCCTCCCTCTTCCTCCCACTCCCTCCCTTCCCCTTTCCTCCCTCCTCTCTCTTCATTCTCTTCCCTCCTTCCCTCTCCTTCCCCACCTCTCCCTCCTTTCCTATCTCTTTCCTCCCTCCTTTTCCCCCTTCCTTCCTCCCTCCCTCCTTGCTTAGACCCCAGCCAGGTGAATTTCTAATACCATCTTTGGATTTTTTTTTTAAAAGGCTCATGGTTTTATCTAACATGGAAATACAGCTCAGTCCCTTTTCTGTTCTTGTTAGACCAGAATTCCCCAGTCTTTCCAGGTTGGCAGCCGGGAATGGGTGGGGGACAAGAGGGGATGGTTTTGTGGGAGAGGCAGGCATGTGCGTGCACATGAGTGTCTGTGGCTTGCTGGAGTGGGGCCACAAACACTCACTTGAGTGAGGCTGCAAACACCCACAACTCTCGAACGAGTGGGCCTGCGAGTCCCCGTGACGCTTGCATGAGTGAACCTGTGTGCGCGTTCGCAGATGCCGGCACACCAGCCGGCCAATCACATGGCCTGGTTGCAAATAGGCCGCTGACAGGTGGTGGGCTGCGGCCTACGGATTGGGGATCCCTATCCTAGATCACTGGTGGCTAATCTTTTGGGGCTCCTGTACCCAAAATTGCAATGTTTGTGGCCCCCTCATGCCCCCTGCACATGCATGTGTGATTCCCCGCTCCTTCCCCCGCTGCCCCCTTACCTGCACTGTGCCTCCCAGCTGATTTTCAGCCCGTTTGAGGCCTTTTTCAGCCTCCCAGAGGCTCGAGGGAAGCCTCTGCAACCTTTGTAGGCCGAAAAATGGGCCTGTTTCATCACTTTTGGTATTTCCAGAAATACCAGAACTGACAAAACGGGCCTGGTTTTCAGCCTACAAAGGCTGCAGAGGCTTCCCTTGAGTCTCTGGGAGGCCGAAAAAGGCCTCAAACGGCCCAAAAATCAGCTGGGAGGCGCGCGCATGCTCAGTGAGGTAAGTTTGCCTGGAGCTCGCATACCCACACAAATGGCTCTAGGTGCCGTAGGTTCACCATCATGGTCCTAGACTATTGTCTGCACTTTGTTCTTGAATCTCAGTGCCTATTTCTTTCTCGTTTCAGATTTTCTATTTTGTACATACATTGTTTTGTATATACTGTATATGATGACTTCGGTGGGCAGTGAACGTACTCGGGGCACTCGAGAAAAAACACAGATTCCAGCCGCGCAGCCGACACAACCACAGAAACCAGTAGTCCAGGTAGGAATTTGGCAGCGTTGTCTCTACATCCTGAACATGTTGATGGCCAAGTAAGAAGAATGTCACTCGTGTGAAGTCTGTAAATTACCCTTGCCAGGAGGTATTCTGTAGATTTGGGGTGTGGGTGCCCCAAAACCAGTACCAAAGTTTGAAGACGATGACTAAGCTGAAAAACCTTCTTGTCCTGTTTTTCAGTGTACCTATTGACAGTCCTCGAGTTACAACAGTTCATTTAGCGACCATTCAAAGTCACAGAGGCATTGGAAAAAAATGACTCATGACGGTGTTGTCACACTTATTACCACTGCAGAATCCTCAGGGTCACATGATCAAAATTCAGGTTCTTGGCAATTGACTCTTTTTTATGATGGTTGCAATGTCCCGGAGTCACCTGATCCTGTGATGACCCGGAGTGTGGCACAAATATAACAAAGTTACCAAAGTAGATAAATTCCCTTTAATGCCTCCAACTTGGCCCACAATGTCCAATTATCCTGGCGGGAGATCAAACTCTTTCAAAAGCAGTGTACAAAGGGAAGAAATGCAGTCCAAACCCAAAATACTGATAAAGTAGAAATAAAAAAAACCAACACAAACCATGCTGAAGTAACGCGACAGACCAGGATAATAACTTGCAGACTTCCAACAGATAACAAGGCACACGCAGTTGGGAGAACGCGAAAACCCAGATAAGCCTTGACAAAGATAATGCATGCTTTGCTTCCAGCAATTTTGCCATGCGCAGTTTGCCCTTTTAAACGGTCTTCCCAGCTGCAGCCCATGAAGGGGATCAGGGCCCTTTCCTCCCCTGTAAACCATGTTTCTCCCTTATCCCAGCCAGACTGTGCCCTCCCCAGTTTCCTCTACAGCCACCGGAGCCACACTCCCACTCCCTGTCAGCTGTTCCACCTCTCCCTCAGAATCAGATTCCAACTGGGGCATGACAGGTCCCCCTTTTGCGACCTTCAAGGCAAGCAAGGTCAATGCGGGAAGCCAGGTTCGCTTAACGACCGTGCGACTAACTTAAGAACTGCAGTGATTCACTTAACCAATCTGGCCAGAAAGGTCATAAAATGGGGCAAAACTCCCTCAGCAACAGGAATTTGGAACTCTGTTGTGATTGTAAGCCGAGGACTGTCTGTACTCTCTCTCAACTTAGTGGCAGTGAGGAAAAGCTATAATGAAACCGATCAGCCTGTCATCCTCCTGCTATTTTCATTTTTTTCTGGCGACTGGATGACCCGCAAGAGCTGCTTAGCACAGCAAAATCGTGGCTTCCAATTGGAGGAGTAACTAAAACACTTTGTCAGATGCCGCTGATGGATTGTCCTTCTTCAAATTACATGCTTAAAAATGTTGCGGTTTTTTTCCCCCTAAATGCTTCCTCAGTTCATGCTCTTTTTTTTATGGGAGTTTTGGGCTACTCAAAAAAAATAACAAGCCAGGATAAAGAAAATTTAGTTTTGTTCATCACCATTATGTTTGCAAGCCTCTTGCCCATGCCAGGGAGTTGTCAGATATTATCCCCGAGTGGAATCATGCGTCGTCTTGCTTGAGATTTCCTTTTGCTGAATTTCATAAATTAAAGCTGGTGCATTGAAATGAAAAATGCAAATATATTTAACGGTGTGGTTTAACTTTGGCCAGAAACTACATGGGTGGACTCTTAAGGGATGCCAGGTGTTTCTTGGTTTAATCAAACTTGTTTACATCCAGGCCAGAGTTCAGACCATAATTTTAAATACATTTGCAGTTTTGCTTAGATGGTAAGTGCAAATCATCACCTGTGGTTCGCATTCATTGGCTAGAGTAGCTCCATTGGGAGGTATAACCAGCTAGAAAAACCCATTAATTTATTAAATTTTTAGGCTGCCAAACTCCCCTAGAGGAGACTTGAGGCAACTTACAACCAAGCATAGGTAGTCCTTGACTTATAACTATTTGTTTACTTAACAGATTACAGATAACAGATAATCAGAGTTGGAAGGGATCTTGTAGGTCATCTAGTCCAACCCTCCCCAAGCGGGAGACCCTACACCATTTCTGACAAATGGCAGTCCAATCTCTTCTTGAAAGCCTCCATTGATGAAGCTCCCACAACTTCTGAGGGCAACTTCTGTTCCATGGGTTGATTGTTCTCACTGTCAGAAAGTTTCTCCTTATTTCCAGGTTGAATCTCACCTTGTTCAGTTTCCATCCATTGTTCCTTGTCTGGCCTTCAGGTGCCTTGGACAATAGCTTGGCCCCTTCCTCCTCTCTGTAGCAGCCCCTCAAATATTGGAAACTACTATCATGTCTCCCTTGGTCCTTCTCTTCCCTAGATTAACCAGGCCCAGTTCCATTTGAAGTTACAATGGCACTGAAAAAAATGACCTATGACCAGGGGTGGTATTCAAAAATTTCAGCAACTGGTTCTCTGCCCGGTTGCTGGGGGGTGGTGGTCATGGTGGGCGTGGCCTAGTTAGCCTCCTGCACCACGGTGGGAAGGGGGGCGTTTTCGCTCTGCCCGGGCTCTGGAAGTTTTCCTCGAGCCTCTGGAAGGGTGAAAAAAGCCTCCAGAGGCCCTCCGGAGACCAGGAACAGGCCTATTTCCGGACTTCCAGAACTTCCAGGACCCTCCCTGTACCCTGGAGGGCAGAAACGGGCTTGTTTTCACCCTCCACGAGCCTCTAGGTGGCCCGTTTTCTACCTCCCCGGGCTCCATGCACCCCCTGCACTTACCTGGGATCCAAAACGGGCTGCATGGAGACTCTTGGGCAGGGCGGGGTGGGGCCAACCAGTTGTTGGAACTACCGGTTTGCCGAACCAGACGTAAAAGTAACATCCGGTTCTCTCCAACCGATCTGAACCGGCTGAATCCCACCCCTGCTTATGACTGGTTGTTTTTTTTTTTTTAAACACTTGGGACCGTTGCAGCGTTCCCATGGTCACATGATCATAACCCGGGTGCTTGGCAACAGGCATGTATTCATGGCGTATGCAGCGTCCCAGGGTCCCCTTTGGCGACCTTCTGACAAGCCCATTTCATTTTTACTGTGTGCCAGTGGGCTCGTCGTAGAAAAAAGACAACAAAAGTTATCAAAGTCAAAGCGAGAGCCAGATTCACGGAACAACCATATTCCTCACTTAGCCGCTGCCTAGATTCATTTCACAGCTGTGGCAGGAATAGTCATAAAATGGAGCAAAGCCCACTTGACAATTGTCTTGCTTAGCGGCAGAAAATCTAGGCTCAGTTGCGGTAAGGCTAGGTCTACTTGTAAAAGAACAAGATAAAATATTAAAGTGATTAATGTCAGCATGTATTTTTTTGCCAGGAGACAAACTTAAGAACGACGAAGATGAAGAACCTTATTTTTTTTTTCTATTCCTCCCCCAAAAGCAAGAATTTGCAGCCACCCACCGTTATTTATTTTCTAAATAATGCTCATAGGCCCCAGAAACAGCTGGATAATGATTCCGAAGGCATGTTTGTTTTACAGAATATCAGCTTCCCATTCTTTTTTTATGATGATTTATTTAAATGTTTGAATCAATTGGATCATGAAGCCTAAAAGCCAACGGAGGAAGTTATCTAAGGGCCATCCGTGCTAATTCTACAGCTCCAATAACTTACTATTTTGCTTTCCAACATAATTATATTTGGCTCTGCTTAAAAGAGAGAAGATTTAGTGTTAAGCCCTGGCCAGGTCACTATTGTTGTTCAGCCAAGCGTTATTCAAGTGAACCATCTTAATGTGATGTGCTTAAAGCCATTATAAAGACTTACAGTTTCTTAAGGCTTTTTAACTATGCTTTGGAGTGCTGATTACGGCTCCTAATCTCCTTGAAATTATATTTCATTTGATAAAATATTAGTCCATTTTACGGTGCTGTGGGTGAAATCATGTACGTCTTAAGAAAGAGGTAGAACTAAGCAACCTAGAACAAAGGAAAAATTTCCTGACAGTTAGAAAAATAACTGTATTTTTCGGATTATAAGATGCACTCCCCCCCCCCCCCCCCCAAGAAAAAGAAAAAAGGATGGAAATGTCTGTGCATCTTATAGAGCAAATACAGGTCCGTTTTGGCCTTCCAAATCATCCGTGCGTCCCATTTTTGCTCTCCCCGGTGTCCAGAAACACTCTGCAGGCCAAAAATGGGCCCGTATTTGGCCTGCAAAGTGCTTCTGGATGCCGGGGAGGAAGAAAACGGGACGCACAGAGGCCAAAAACTATTTTTCCCTTGTTTTCCTTCTCTAAACCTAGGTTTGTCTTATGGTCCGGTGCATCTGATAGTCTGAAAAATATGGTAAACTTGCCTCCAACACTGGAAGTTTTTAAGAAGAGATTGGACAACCGCTTGTCTGAAGTGGTGTAGGGTTTCCTGCCTAAGCGGGGGGTTGGACTAGAAGACCTCCAAGGTCCCTTCCAACTCTTCTCTTCTCTTCTCTTCTCTTCTCTTCTCTTCTCTTCTCTTCTCTCCTCTCCTCTCCTCTCCTCTCCTCTCCTCTCCTCTCCTCTCCTCTCCTCTATTTCTATTCTATTTCTAATTTTCTCTTCTCTTCTCTTCTCTTCTCTTCTCTTCTCTTCTCTTCTCTTCTCTTCTCTTCTCTTCTCTCCTCTCCTCTCCTCTCCTCTCCTCCCCTCTCCTCTATTTCTATTCTATTTCTAATTCTCTTCTCTTCTCTTCTCTTCTCTTCTCTTCTCTTCTCTTCTCTTCTCTATTCTATTCTATTCTACTCTACTCTACTCTACTCTACTCTACTCTACTCTACTCTTATTCTATTTTTATTTCTATTTCTATTCTATTCTATTCTATTCTATTCTTTCTTATACTTATTATTCATATTCATATTCAGTCAAATGTTTTTTGTTAGGCTGTTGTTAGGAATCGTTTATTTTTTAAACAGTCGCTTATAATCTAAAATGGGGTTGCTGGACAGGGAAAAGACCCACAGAAAACGTCTTATTTCACACACACCCCAATTAAAAATAGAAGAGTAAGTTGCAGGAAAGTAAATAGTGGGGGGAGGGGGAAGTTGAAAAAGTCATTGACTTACAACAGTTCATTTAGTGACCAAAGTTATGGCGGCATTGAAAAAAGTGACGTATGAACAATTTTCACACTTACGACCACTGCAGCATCCCCCTGGTCACGCCATCAAAATTCAGATGCTGGGCAACCGATTCAAATTTACGACTGTTGCAGTGTCATAAGTACGTCACGTGATTCGCTTTTGTGACCTCCTGATGAGCAAAGTCAGTGAGGAAGCCGGATTCCCTTAACAACTGCGTCACTCACTTAACAACTGGACTGATTCACTTAGCAAACGTGGCAAGAAAAGCGCTAAAATATGTCAAAACTCACTTAACAAAGCTCCTCACATTGCAACATACATTTGGGGCTCAATTACAGTTGTAAGAAGAAATTTTCTGACAGGGAGAACCATCAACTTGTGGAACAAAAGTTGCCTTCGGAAGTTGTGGGAGCTTCATCCCCGGAGGCTTTCAAGAAGAGACTGGACGGCCATCGGTCAGAAACGGTGTAGGGTCCCCTGCTTGTGTGTGGGGTAGACTAGATGACCTACAAGGTCCCTTCCCACGCTGTTTAATCTGACTTATGGTACAATACACTTGATTTTGAATACAAATTTGTGTCTTATATTTCATGGTTTTTTTGTGTTTTTTTTCAGGCCACAGCAGAGCAAATCCGCCTGGCTCAAATGATATACGACAAGAACGATGCAGACTTCGAAGATAAAGTGAAACAAGTCAGTATCCACTCCAGCTTTGCTTTGGGGAATGAGGAGAGGGGATTGCTGTTGCATGTAGTTGAGTGGAGTCCAGTCTTATATAGGTAGTCCTCGATTTACAACACTTCGTTTAGAGACCGTTCAAAGTTACAATTGCACTGAAAACAGTAACCAGTGACCGTTTTTCACACATAATGACCATTGTAGCATTCCCATGGTCACATGATCAAAGTTCAGATGCTTGGCAACTGATTCCTATTTATGACAGTCGCAGTGTCCCCTTGGGGTCACGCGATCCCCTTTTGCGACCTTTGGACAAAGTAAACGGGAAAGCCAGATTCCTTTTAACAGCCGTGTTACTCATTTAACAGCTGCAGCGATTCACTTAACCACTGTGGCAAGAAAGGTCATAAAACAGGGTGAAATTCACTTAACGAATGTCTCGCTTAGCAACAGAACCGTTGGGCTCGATTGTGGTCATACGCGGAGGACTTGCCTATCTGTTCTAAAGCTGTATCCAAATCCTGTTGCTTCCTGAAACTGAATTAATTCTGCCTTCTGATGTGTTGCTGTGATGATTAGCATAGGCAGTCCCTGACTTACGGCCATTCATTAAGTGGCAATTTGAGGGCAACATAGCACTGAATAACATTGCGGCATTGCCACTTGATCAAGCTACTCATCAGCTGTTGTGTATTCACAACGGTTGCAGCATTTGGAGTTGTGTGATGGCCATTTGCAACCTTCCCAGCCAGCTTTCAACAATCAGAGTCAATGGAGGGAAAGTAGATTTGCTTAATGGTCTCATGAGTCACTTAACAACTGCAATGATTTCTTTGTGGCCACAACGGCCATAAAATTGGATGTGTCTCACTTAACAGCTGCCCTGCTTAGCAACAGAAATTCTAGTCCCAGTTGTGGTCCTAAGCCAAGGACTACTTGTATCTTTTTGTCATGCTCCTGTTGGAGTCTGACTCTGAGGGGTGGAATAGCTGACAGGGAGTGGGAGTGTGGCTCCGGTGGTTGTGGAGGAAACTGGGGAAGGGCACAGGCTGGATGGACATTCAGAGAAACACCCAGGGCCATCAACTCTTCATCCTAGGGCATGCAGGGAGGAGCGGATAAGGGAGAAAAGTAAGTGGTGTGGTCTATGGGGGAGGAAATGGCCCTGATTCCCTTCATGGGCTGCAGCTGAGAGGACTGTTTAAAAGAACAAACTGCGCATGGCAAAGTTGCTGGAAGCAAAGCTTGCATTATTCTTGTCAAAGCTTTTCTGGGTTTTGACTTCCTCCCAGCTGTGGTTGCTGCATTATCTGGCAGAAGTCTGCAATTTGTCATCCTGGCCTGCCGTATTAATTCCTTCAGTGTAGTTTGTGTTGTTTTTTTTAAATTTCTAATTAATTTTACTTTGGGTTCGGACTGCATTTATTCCCTCCAAAGACTGGGTTTTTTTAAAAAAAGAGTTTGATATCCAGCCAAGGATAATTGGACATTGGGGCCAAGTTGGAGGCATTAAAAGGGAATTAATTCTGTTTTTGTGACTTTGTTATTTTTGTGTCACACCCCGGGTCATCACACTTTTCAAGAAAAAGTCAGTGGTTGGGATTTGTGGAAAAGCCAAAACAAGATACAGGGAGTCCTCAGCTTATGAACAGAATTAAGTCCAGCGTTTCCATGGCTGAGCAAGATGGTTATTAAGTGAGTTTTGCCCCATTTTACGGACTTTCTTGCCACAGTTGTAAAGTGAATCCCTGCCGTTGTTAAATTAGTAACATGGTTGTTAAACGAATCTGGCTTCCCCATTGCTTGTCAGAAGGTCGCAAAAGGGGATCAGGTGACCCCTGGGACATTGCAACCGTCATAAATGCGAGTCAGTTGCCAAGCCTCTGAATGACCACGGAGATGCCGCAACAGTTGTAAGTGTGACAAATGGTCGTAAGCCACTTTTTTTTCAGTTCCATTGTAACTTTAGACCAGGGGTGTCCAACCTTGGCAACTTTAAGACTTGTGGACTTCAACTCCCAGAGCTGGCTGAGGAATTCTGGGAGTTGAAGTCCACAAGTCTTAAAGTTGCCAAGGTTGGACACCCCTGCTTTAGACGGTTACCAAAGAAACGCTTGTAAGGACTATGGTCAAGGACTACCCACATTAAGCGACGAATCCTACTAAAATTACGTTGAGATCTTTTTTGTGGAGGTGGATTTCCATCCTTGAGATTCCTCGTCCTGGCTCTGACTCCCAGGGAGCCACAGAGGCTTCCTTCGACCTGCCCAGATGTTTTTATCCCTTTTTCCCCTCTTCACCGCCAGTGAAAGCATGAAAATGCGTGTAGCTCCTGTCTGCACTCTGAGCATGCAGGAAATATTAATCCCTTCCCTAAAAACCTGTCTTGGCTCCGTGAAGTAAGCAGAGAAACTGAAATATGGCCTGCAGGTAAAACCAATCCCTCCTTGGTAGGAAGTTTTTGTGTGTGGGGGAGGGGTGGAATGAAGAAACTGAATCAGTTTGAGTCCCCAGATAAATAACATTTATGTAGCTTGGGGTTAAACTGTGGGGTCCTTGGTGCTCTCTGAGCTTGGCTGTTTTCTTGTAGATGTTTCATGGCCGGACTAAGTAACATCATGATGATATTACCTACTTTGATAATGAAACATCTGCAAGAAAACCATGAATCTCAGAGAGTACCAAGGACCCCACAGTTCTCCTCCTCCTCCTCCTCCTCCTCCTCCTCCTCTCTGCAAACCCCACTCCCATCTAGCACTGATGATGGTACCTACTTTGATAATGAAACATCTGCAAGAAAGCCATGAATCTACAGAGTACCAAGGACCCCACAGTTCTCTTCCTCCTCCTCCTCCTCCTCTTCCTCCTCCTCCTCCTCCTCCTCTTCCTCCTCCTCCTCCTCTCTGCAAACCCCCCTCCCATGTAGCACTGATGATGTTACCTACTTTGATAATGAAACATCTGCAAGAAAACCATGAATCTACAGAGTACCAAGGACCCCACAGTTGTTCTCCTCCTCCTCCTCCTCCTCCTCCTCTCTGCATACCGCACTCCCATCTAGCACTGATGATGGTACCTACTTTGATAATGAAACATCTACAAGAAAGCCATGAATCTACAGAGTACCAAGGACCCCACAGTTCTCCTCCTCCTCCTCCTCCTCCTCCTCCTCCTCCTCCTCTCTGCAAACCCCACTCCCATCTAGCACTGATGATGGTACCTACTTTGATAATGAAACATCTGCAAGAAAACCATGAATCTCAGAGAGTACCAAGGACCCCATAGTCCTCCTCCTCCTCCTCCTCCTCTCTGCAAACCCCACTCCCATCTAGCACTGATGATGGTACCTAGTTTGATAATGAAACATCTGCAAGAAAACCACGAATCTACAGAGTCCCAAGGACCCCACAGTTGTTCTCCTCCTCCTCCTCCTCCTCTCTGCAAACCCCACTCCCATCTAGCACTGATGATGGTACCTAGTTTGATAATGAAACATCTGCAAGAAAACCACGAATCTACAGAGTACCAAGGACCCCAGAGTCTCTCTACTCCTCTCTGCAAACACCACTCTCAGGTAGCACTAACTACTTTGGTAATGAAACGCCTGTAAGGAAGCACCAGGGATCCCACAGTCTTTTACATTCCAAGTTCATCCCAGGCTTTTGGCTATATTGTTCTTGAAGAAATAAAAGCATATTTGGGGACTAGACTATTCTCCCACACCTTGGAGTGAGGTAGGTGGGGCCCTCAGATGTGTTCATTATTTTTGTTTTCTATCCCAGATTGTTTCGATTTGCATTTTTAAACATTATTTGTGTCCAAATTAAATTCATAAATTCTAAAGTTAGTAGCAGTGATTCTGAGCTAATCTATAACTTGCCGTAGACATGTAACCATCTGAGCAGTTGTAATTTTATATTAATTAGACTCCCACATACAGACACACTCACTGCCATGTTTTATTTCTGTTCCTTCTATAAAGTCACCCTGGTTATTCTGAGCTGCTTTTTTTAAACATGTGTTTGTATGTGGGTTTTTATTTTTATTTTATTTTTTAGCTGATGGAAGTGACAGGGAAGAATCAGGACGACTGCATCGTAGCTCTGCACGATTGTAATGGTGATGTGAACAGAGCAATCAACCTCTTGCTGGAAGGAAGCTCAGATACAGTAAGTGCTCAATTTAGAGCCTTTAGAGTTCTTTAAAAAGTTGCCTTTCTAAAAGAATTTGTGAGGAAGACCTCCTGCTTTTAGTGGGAAATGTGAAGGCTGAAAAATGTTCATCCTTTTAGGACAAATCTTGCAGAGCTAAGAGCTCAGAAACGTGGAATAAACAGCCTCCAATATTTAATATCTTCCCATCACTTTTCTGCCAATATGAAGATTAACCATGTTCTCCTGGCGAGGCTCCTGTGTGCTTTCTAAACTTTTGCTTATTCTCCAAGAAAGCAGAATTTTAAAACATCACGATGAGCCATGCAGGAAATTGAAATGCCCAACTCCACCTTGCCTTTCTCATCTTTCTGGGATCTGAAATTTCAGAAAATATTATTCAAGCATACCTGACCCACATTAAGGAAAAGGAGCATGCTTTTTTAAAAAAAGCAGATATTTTTACGTTACTTAATTATCTGCTCTCTGCCATCCAATTTATCCTTTTCTTCCCTTCTAAAGAATTGTGCCGTCTATGTAACCTCGTGTTTATGGTCTAGTGTGCATGAAATAAGCCAGGACAGTTTTCTTTTTCACCCAGATAATGAAAAATGAAACCTTTGCTCTTTTGTGAAGTTAAGGACAGTTTCCTTAATGTTCAGTTGGCTTTCTTGCTTATAAGGCAGCCAAGACAACATTGGCAACAGGATGGCAGATTTTCCCCCCTTGTTGGTTTGTTTAGAAAATTTCAGTGGCTGCCCAACTCACCCACGATGAGTCTAGGTTGCCTACAGAAATATAACCCCAAATTTAAAAATCCAATAAATTCCCACCTCTCTGGTGACTGCAATCAAACACACCACTTGATGGGCTTCATGTCACACCTGGTTCCTCAGTCTCACAGGCAAACTATGTCTTGAGGGATCCAAAGGTGCTTTTTTCAAGAGGCAACTGGACTTTCTGGTTTTTCTTTGAAGACTTTTCGCTTCTCATCCAAGAAGCTTCTTCAGCTCTGACAGGATAGTGGGGAAGGGAAGGATTTATACTCCTTGCAGACAGCTGGCCGTTTGCATCCTTTTAGAGGGTCATTGAGGCCACCTGGAGGTTTATTTGTGTCCTCAGGATCACCTGAGTGGTGCTCCTGGTTCCTGTAGTTTGCAATTTTTATCTCTGGAAATCCATTCCTACTCCCACACCATTCCTACTTCATTGCTACTCCCATTCAAAGGGTGTTCAACTGAAATCGTATAGCTAAAAGTCTGTAGAGATTCTCCATCATCCAGGTCCTGGTTGTCCCAAAAGTCCTTTTTTTCCGGAGGCAACTGGACTACCTTGGTTTTCTCTGAAGATGTTTCGCTTCTTAGGCAAGAAGCTGCTTCAGATGAGAAGCAGTGCAGAGCTGAAGAAGCTTCTTGGATGAGAAGCGAAAGGTCTTCAAAGAAAAAAAACAGAGAGTCCATCTGCCTTGAAAAAAAAAAAGCACCCTTGGGATAACCATGGCTTGGATGACGTGTCTTGAGGGCCATTTAAAAGAATGTCGAGGTGGAGGACCAATCCTATATCCACCGGGATGATGTTCTACCCGGAGGGAGCCACCAATGAGAAGGCCCTTCTTCTTAGTCCCACTAGTTCAGTGACCCCCAGTGGGCCGCGAGAAAATTCTGGTGGTCCACATGGTGTGTGCGCTGCATTGTGAGCGAGCAGTTGGCTAAAAGGCGATTTAGCATTCCACAGACAAGGAATGAGCTGTTTGGAATCTCTCTTCCCCTTGAAGATGTGACCAGAGCCAGCAACTCACATTTTTTGCACAGAAGACCCAAACGTGAAAACCTGTACAGCCACCCCCTCATCTCTGGTCTTGCAAAAGGAGGAATAAGTGCAGTGTCTCAAAGAAACGAGGGCATGTGTAGTGAAAAAACACATAAATATCTTTAGTATTTTTTTTTATTGTTTATTTTTTACTAAGTACGGCGTCTTGGAGATCCTAGCAAGGTGTGATGACCCAGGGTGGGATACAAAATATTTGTCCCAAGTCCCAAAAACAGATGAAGCCCCTTTTATTCCTTCACTTTGCTTCAAAGCTCCAAATATGCTTGACTGGAAACAAAAAACTCCCCCACAAGCAGTTACAAATTTTTTTAATTTAATTTAAATTAAAATTAAATTAAAAATGTCTATAAATTGTACAACACAAACCACACTGAAGCAATTAAGGGAACCAGGCAAGATAAGGGCTTGAAGACGTCCACAGATATCGGAACACCCACTGGGAAGGACGCCAAATTGAGAGAGGAACGACAGACTAGTGATATTTCCATGCTTTGTTTCCAGCATTGGGCCATACGCATGTCTGTCCTTTTAACCAGTTCTCACAGCTGCAGCCCATGAAGGGGATCAAGGCCCTTTCCTCCCCCATAGACCATGCCATTCACGTTTCTCCCTTATCCTCTTCTCCCTGCGTGCCCTGGGATGGAGAGGGGATGGGCCTGGGTCTTCCTCCGACTGTCCAGCCAGCCTCTGCCCTTCCCCAGCCTCCTCCACAACCTCCGGAGCCACACTCCCACTCCCTGTCGGCTGTTCCTCCTCTCCCTTGGAGTCATGACACAAGGCTAGAGAGGGAAGAAATCTCCTTCTGAATGACAGGCTGGAGAAAAAAAAGGTCCATTAGGACTGAAGTGTGAAAGGGGGAATACTAGCATTTTAAATTGTAAAGACCTTTTTTTTTTTAATTGTAAGCCTCCCAGAGTCATTGATAGAGATGGGCAACTGTAGAAATTAAATTAAAAATTAAATTAATAAATTAATTAGAAATTAAATGAATGAGTGAATGAACGAACAAACGAACAAATAAATGAAGAAATGAATGAATAAACAAACAAACCCTTCCCCCAGCGTCCTATTTTTGTTCAACCCTTCCTGGGACTAAAAAATACAGCTAGCCCTCAACTTGTAACCACAATTCAGCCCAACATTTCTGTTGCTAAGTGAGGCATTTGTTAAATGAGTTTTTGGCCCCTTTTATGACTTTTTTGCTACAATTGCTAAGTGAATCATTGCAGTTGTTAAGTTAGTAAAACGGTTGTTAAGTGAATCTGGCTGTTCCCACTGACTTTGCTTATCAGAAGGTTTCACAAGGCCTCCAGACAAGCCCAACTTCACAGCTGTCTCTCTCAGCCACAGAAAATTTGGAAGGAGCTCAAATGTGGCCATATGTTGAGGACTACCTGTACATTCCTTTCTAAGAATCCTGCTCCCGTGTTGTCGGGATGTTTTCTGAGAGGTTTTGGGAGACGGTGTTTGGGCAAGGCTCTGCAAGACTTGTCTTTCATTCTGAATTGTTCTGTCTTGTTTTCCTCCTCCGCCCGACTAGACTTCGTGGGAGACGGTAGGAGTCAAGAAGAAAAGCCTTGGAAAAGAGAGCTCCGAAAACAAAGAGAACAGAGAAAAGCGAGGGGACAGAGAAGGAAGCCGTGGACGGGGAACTTCCAACAGGCGAGGAAGAGGAGGCAGCCGTGGTCGAGAGTGTAAGTCCCCAGACTTCGGACTGCAAGGTGCAGGGTGGGCGTAGTTAGAGTATAGCATATAGCATATAGTGGATAGTGGATAGTGGATAGAGCAGAACAGAATAGAATTCTTTATTGGCCAAGTGCGCTTGGACACACAAGGAATTTGTCTTCGGTGCATAAGCTCTCAGCGTGCATAAAGGATATTCATCAAGAATCATGTATCTTATGACTTTACACTTAACGATAGTCATAGGATGCTAAATAAGCTATCAAAGTCATACTAGGAAACCGGATAAAACAATATAACGATAAAGATTACAAGCAACAAGGTTATAGTCATAAGTAGAATAGGCGATAGGTGATAGGAAGAATGGGAAGAATAGTTTGACAGTGTTGTGGGAGTTAGCTGCTTAGCAGAGGGATGGCTTGGGCAGGAAAACCGTCCTTGTGCCTAGTTGTTCTGGTGTGCAATGTTCTAGAATGTCATTTTGAAGGTAGAAGTTGAAACAGTTTAATGTCCAGGATGTGAGGGGTCCGTGGAGTTGCTTGCAGCTCGACAAGGAGCACAGCACAGTGGACTTGAGCTGCTTCGTTGTATGTTTGCAATAGAGGCTGATGGAGAAATGTGCATGTGTGCGCACGTGCGCGCGCACACACACACACACACACACACACACAGACAGATGCCCTGGGAAATAGCTTAATCCCGATCGGCTTTTGCTTTGTCCTTGATTCCTCTCCCTCCCAGGGTGAGAACACTGGGGTGATTTGGGTCCGTGATGGAGAATGTGCGAAGCGCAGCTCACCAACTCTCAGTTGCGGGGCCTGAACAGCCTTCATTGCAGTCCTTTGAAGAAGGCTTGGGGAGCCTCACAGAGATTTCAAAACTGCGAGGGCACTGTAACACTCAGTAAAACAACTCGGCCATATAAACAGACAAACAAGACAACAGAAAACCATGGTGCTTCTAAGCTTGGTTTTTTTCTTGTGGATGTCTCACTACCCAACTAGGTACCATCATCAGAGCTAGCGAGGGTGGCCTTTGCGGCAGGCTTTGTTTTGGTCCCAGAACTCATCCTCTCCAGCAACCTACACCAAGATAAGCAGGGATTAATATCAGACAAATAAGCAGAAAATCGTGCCCTAACTCGGGGTCCTCAACCCTACGGTTCGCAGACCAGTGCTGGGCCATAGCCAGTTCAGAACTGGGCCATGGAAGTGTTGTGTGTGTGTGTGTGCAACGCATTTGTGAAAGCAGCATGCTCGTGCAAAACCATCCCTCCTTCCCCCTGCTGTTCCACTGCTGCCTTTGCCAGTCCTCTGAGCCAGAAAGGTTGGAGAAGACCACTGCCCTAACTGAGGAACTACTCCCACCAGCACTGGCAGGGCAAGCAGACCCCTACACTCAATACAAACTGATGATGTGATCTAGCTGGGTTATGAAACATTTGGATGAAACCCAGCAAGATCAGAGAGCACCAAGGAAACCACAGTCGTCGTCCTCCTCCTCCTCCTCCTCCTCCTCCTCCTCCTCCTCCTCCTCCTCCTCCTCTTCTTCTTCTGCAAACCCCACTCCTTCCAAGCACTGATGGTGTTAACTAGTTAGGTCATGAAACATCTACAAGAAAACCACCAAGGGAAAGCACCGAGTACCCCAAAGTTCCATCCTGGGCTACAAATATTCTCTTCCATCAGAAACAAAAAAAAACTCCCAGCCCTAAATCATTTAGGTAAGTGAAAGGCAGCACGAAAATGTGTAAGCAGATGAATGGAAAGAGGCTACAAGTTGCAAGTCGGTGGAAAAATGAAGGGGTGTTGTTAAACAAGGGTTGATTACCACACGGGGTTTAACCACATTGACCGTAGGACAAAGACAGTTGGCGGCAACAGTCACATTTGCCACCAATCGCTGCACCTTCCCTCCTTCCCCTCTTGCTGTCTTCAACGTTTGTGCACAGTTGAAAATATCCGACTGAACTCTCCGATGCGTAAAAACGATGCGTATGCTCTGAGATTATATCTCTTGTTTTTCTCTCCTCTCTAGTTAGAGTCGAGGAAAACGGAGTAGAAACGCCACCTGGGGACAGGCCTTCCGATCGTGGCAAACGTGGCAAGGGGAGAGGTAAAGTGCCAGTATTTTTATATTCCTCAACTATTCGTGGCCCAAGTAGTTAAGCCACCTCTCGTAATTTTTTTTTTTTTTTAAAAGAAACCCACCTCAAAAGGAACAGTTTGGATGAAAAGCTTTCGCGGTGCACTTTTGGCAACTTCTTGGGTGGGAGGTCTGCAGGGGGGGGTTGTTTGCTTTTGGGTTGGGGAATGTGTTTAAGGTACGTCGTGGCCCCAAAAAGAACATCTTATACAAATAATAAAAGCATCGCCTGAAATGCTTTTAAAAGTGACTGGAATTGACAGAATTTGCCCTTTTATCAGATAACCACAAAGGAGCGCAGACTAAAACCGTGTAGTTAGTCCTCCGTGTACAAGCGCAGTTGAGGCCAAACTTTATGTTGCTAAAGTGAAACGTTTGTTAAAGTGAGTTTTGCCCTCTTTTACAACCTTTCTTGCCAGCATGGTTAAGTGAATCACTGCAGTTAAATTTGTCACGTGGTTGTTAAGTGAACCTGGCTTTCCCATTGACTTTGTGTTGTGGCCTCTCCAGTAGTCAAATCAGAGGAGGAGGAGGAGGAGGAGGAGGAGTGGGAGTCAGGGTCAGCATCAAGGCAACCTGGGAGCTCTGAGGGGAAAGAGGGAAGAGTGTAAGAGAGGGAGAGAGAAAGAGAAAGAAAGAGGGGGAGAGAGAGAGAGAGAGAGAGGAGGAAGAGAGAGAGAGAGAGAAAGGAAGAGAAGGAGAGAGAAAGAGAGGGGGAGGGAGAGAAAGAGAGAGAGAGGGAGGGAGAGAGGGAGGAAGAGAGGGAAGGAGGGGGAGAGAGAGAGAAAGGAAGAGAAGGAGAGAGAAAGAGAGAGGGGGGGAGGGAGAAAGAGGGAGGGAGAGAGAGAGGGAAGGAGCGGGAGAGAGAGAGAGAGAGAGACTGGGCCATCTGTCAGCCCTCAGATGGAGAGTCAACAGCCTCCAGGTCTGGAGGTGGCTTATGAGGAAGTGGAGGAACAGCCAGAGGAGAGGAGAGCAGTGGAAATCTATGGGCCGGTCTTTGGGACGTAGCAATGCCCCACCCTAGCTCTGGGAGGGGGTGGAGATGAAGAGATGTGGCAGATAACTATTCATCTCCCTGCCAGACATATTTATTAGCCTGCGTTGAGAGAGAAACTTTTTCCCGGGGCTGCTGGTGCTCCTAATAAAGGAAACTTTGAGTTCACTTCAGAGGGTTTGTCGTGTCTGGGGAGCTGGGTCAGAACACTTTGCTTGTCAGATGGTTGCAAAAGGGGACCACACAACCCTGGGACACGGCGACCGTCATAAACACATGCCAGTTACATCCGAATTTTGACCACGTGAACATGGGGACACTGCAATGGTCGTAAGTGTGAAAAACAGTCCTAAGTTACTTTTTAAGCGCCCTTGTGATTTCCAACCATCACTCAATAAATTGCTGTAAATCAAGGACCACCTGTAGTTAAGTCTCAAATCGGCTGGGCTGTGCAGAAGATTGTGGAGCCTTCTCAGCCCCCCGATTCACCTTTTTCTTTTCTTTTTTTTTTAAATTGTATTGGTTTTTTAAAACAAACATAAACAAACAAAACATAAAAACATCAAGCTGTCTTCCATAGGTGTACACACAGTGTGCCGGTTGGTTTACAAATTGTTTTGTGCTTCCGTTTCGTAGTCTTCAATTACAGTTCAATTACATATAATCTCATATTGTCAATCAAAAACTAAATACCTTAGTATCATTATTAATCAATCATTTGACTATACTTTTATTCATTCATGTTTTACAAGATAACCATAATTTACTTAATTTATTGTATAACAGTTCATATTATCATCCCAAATCTATCCTAAAAACATTTTGTAGTTATAATTAAAAAAAGGTACATCTTTATATATTTATTATTTTCTAGAAATCTACATATTTCATTACTGTACTTTGTTATCTAACCATTGATAGAAAAGATCCCAAATTTTATAAAATTGTTTATCCTCTTGTTCTCTAATTTCAAATGTCAATCTACTCATTTCAGCACATTCCAATATTTTCTTCATTATTTCCTCCTGTGATGGTATCGTCTCATTTTTCCAGTTTTTAGCAAATACAATCCTAGCCGCTGTTAATACATTTACAATCAGGTATTTCAAGTCTTTGCTATATATTACAGGTAAAATTACCAATAAAAATATCTCTGGTTTCAAGTCTATATGTTTTTTCGTCATTTTCTCCAACCACATGTGGATTTTAGTCCAGTATTTTTTGGCATCCGCACAAGTCCACCGCATCTTGGCAACGTTTCGACGAGGTCCCACTCGCCATCTTCAGGCTGGTGCTTTCGGCTTCGGGCTTGTGTGAGCAAAAAGCACGAACAAGCACAAAGCCGAAAGCACCAGCCTGAAGATGGCGAGTGGGACCTCGTCGAAACGTCGCCAAGATGCTCTCAATCTCACACGGGAAAAGACCCGAACACGCCAAGACTTGCATACCTGTACCCGTGAAAATCTACGAACGTTTCTCAGCAGAGCAACTGGGCCCGTTGTCCCCTTCCAGGCCTGCCAGCTGCCCGTCAACTCTGGAGTCCAGAAGCACAGCTGAGAATGCAAATTTTGGCAGAAGCCTGGGCTGCCGGACTTGGCAACCCGGCAGAGAACTTGGCCGCCCTAATAAGCATGTTTGTCAACATGGTCTGTGGAGCTTCTCAATCATCCAGCTCATGGTTGTCTCAAAAGTGCTTTTCCAAAGGCAATTTGAACTTTGTTTTTTTTCTTTGAAAACATTTCTCATCTATGAAGATTCTCAATCATCCAGGTCCTGGTTGTCCCAAAGGTGCTTTTTTTTCAAGAGGCAACTGGACTTTCTGGTTTTTTTCTTTTTTTTTTTTTGAACAAATTTTATTGATTTTCCAAAACAATACACAGACAAACAAAACATAAAATATAATGACATAGGAGTTTTTTTTCTTAAAAAGCCAATACAACATCTTATTTAAAGACAGAATTATTCCAAGTTATCACATTTCCAAACAAGCACAATTTGATATATATATTTACCTTATCTGTTCATCTTCATATCTTATCCCAAACTTCTCTTTATTACTTCCTTTCCTTCTATTTATTCAAATTATATCTCTTTAACTTTAGATTGTATACATTTTTTATATCCATCTGTCTTATACATTTTCATTATTCTCTTCCAATAAAAAAACAAACAAGACATAAAACATAAAAACAGAAAACATCTTTTCTGAAAGTTGCTTGATCCCGGGTTAAAACTCATCGTACAGACACCTCTTCAAAAATCATGTTCCTTTTATATATCATTCCATATCTTATTACCGTTTTCCATTTTCTATATAGCTTCTTCCTTTTTTTAACTCTCTTAATTTTATTCTACTCATCTCAGTTCAAGTCATAATACTTAACATTCTTTGTCTGTTCTCAACTATCCATTCATTTTTTCTCTTTAAACAAAACCTCTCCTGTACACTAATTAGAGTATGACGCCTTTAACTCTTTCCCCTAACCTAATAATACTTAATATCACACATAACTTGTATTGGGATTCTGTTTAGCACATCCTAAAGTCACACAATATATTATATAAAGAGAAAAAGAAAAAAGAAAGAACGACAATAACAAACAAATTTATAGATATATAATATAGGTAGTACCCCTGTCAAAACCATTTTAATTGTACCTATTGATACTTATTTATATATTTATATCTTAAACATTTTATTCTATAAATGCCTATAATAACACAATCTTATGTACCTTACAGAATCCCTTTTTCAATTAAATTTACCCACTGTCTCTAAATAAATTTTGTTTCTTCAAATCTTGCTTCCCATCGTTGAGACTTCTCACCCCTTCCTTTCTTCCTTGCTTATTCTTTTCCTCACCCTGTTTACCCCTTTGTCTTTCCACCTCCCTTTTCTTCTTGTGCTTTCCCCCTTCCTGTTGTTTTCTAACCTTATATCCACCCTTCAACTCATTTTTATCTTTTTTGGTTGTTTTTTTAGGTTTTAAAATCCCTTTTTCCTTTTCCTCTTCCTCCTTTTTCTCCCCCAATAGAGTCACATGTTCATCAAAAATGGTTCCTTCTTTGTCCCAATTATCCTGCTGCGCAATCAATTCTCCATAGGAATGCACCGCCATTTCTAGAGATTGAAAAAGAATGTCCAAGATATCTTTCCAGTCTTGTTCTTCCTTTTTATATTTTAGATATTCAGTTTTAAATTCATCCAAAAGTGGTGCCATTATAAAGAGGAAAAAATTTTCCAAAAACAACCACCCGAGTGTTTTTAAACAAAGAAAAAAAAGTTTCCCAAAAGATGCAAAGTCACCAAACAATCCAGATAGACTATTTCATTTAGCACTTTTTCCCTTCTTCCATTTCTTTTTCTGGGGTTGCTATTAAATCACAAAATTCCAATTATAATATGTCTTTTGAAGTCTTATTAATGTTCAAATGGCTCTTTAAAATTCTAGGCAGTCTGCTCCTTATTTTCAACTTCTACTTCAATTTTTTTCCTCTCCCTTCCCACTCACAGCAGAAGAAAAAATTTTCTTTAAATATTTAGAAATCCATATCCCTTTGGCATTAGCATAGTCTTTAGCATTTAGCATACCTTCAATGCGGGTTTCTGATTTCTCTCAAAGCTGTTCTGTTTGGAAGGAGAGTGAAAAGAAAAAAAGTTTTCTCTTTGATATCCATTCGCTGCTTACTCAGTCTGGGAACAATGTGTCTTTAGTAGGTGTTAAATACCAGGATACTTTCACTGTTCCTTTGTCCCGGTCAGCAAAATCAGTTTCATTTCTTCACAACCCCCTCCAGCACTTCCTTTTCCCGGCTGAGCTCTTCTAAGTGGCGGCCATTAGAGACCGCCGTTCAGTTGCCATCGGAGAGGGAGATTTAGCCGGCTAGGGAAGAGAGATGCGATGTCTCTCGTCCCTGCCAGAACCCCCCAGTCTTCACCACCTTCTACAAAGGTGGCTTAGCCCCGAAGCCA